TAGTCCCAAGTCATGGAAGCCGTCGCTAGAACCCAGAAATCCCATCATTCTAACTCCATTTTTCGCCATAGGTTTACGGGTGGGTCGACTTTGGAAGCACCTGTCTTGAGTTGTTGAACGACTTAATTTAATAAGGTGCGTGGTTAAAGGGGGCTAGATTTAATGTTTCAAGTTATGTTATGCCTCACTATGCTTTCGATTATGTATGTGTTACTGGCTTTCCATGTTTAAGTTTCAAGCTATCATGGTTGCACGTTAACAAGCAAGATCATGTTTTAAAACTCAACTAACTAGCTGCGCACACGACCACCTTCCTTCCCGTTATGAGGAAGTTTATCAGGTTATCAATCTTATCAGGTTTCCTACCCATTGTGAGGAAGTTTATCAAGTTTATCACATTTTGGTGGTCAAATAGTGGTGCTAGTTAGGTTGAGTTCGGGGCCCCTTTCCAAGCAAGCTAAATGAGATTTCTTGATCATGTGTATTCTAGTTCTTTGTTTTCGTTCCTCCTAAGTCGTTGCGTCGTTATCACGTTATTTTGAGATAAACTGCACCTAGGACTGACCCCACACCTGCACTCAGGAGCTATTAGGGAGTAGGAACGCACAGACCAACCGCTGGGACACCATTGCTGCTCAGGATGTCATCAGAAGGGTTAGTGACTGAGAAAGCTTCACCAAGGGCTCCTTTTACTTAATGAATTTCCTTTTAGTAGACTCGAGACATATGCTCGTTTGTGTTGAATTGACAAGGATTATTTCTGTTTAAGATTAGGATTTTGGTTATGGATGATTTTCCGTTGTTTATCTTCTTGTATTTTCAAGACAAATGATTTATTTTAATTTTCAAGGGTATTTTGGTAAATTTAATGACCGGTCGATCTAGGGTGTTACATTTTGGTATCAGAGCTGGTCTCCCTCTGTCTTCACTTGGTAAGTGAGATATTGGGAAGTCGGTCTCCATGTATTAACAAGCGATAAAGGTTTTAAAACTTTTCAATCAAGATTTGCATGAAAATTTTTAGAATGTAAAATATTTTACATTAGTGTAATTAAATGTAGAATATTTTAAATTAGTGTAATAAAATGTGTAAGTTGGTAGCGAGTGAGGAGTAGGGATGGCAGTAGAACCCGAATTCGCGGGTACCCGACCTCACCCAACCCGGTCAACGTGGTTAAAACCCGCTTTGACGGATTGCGGGTCTAGTTAGGGTTTAAACACGCTATACTTTTTGCGGGTTGGGTTTGGGTTTGACCATATCTAACCCACGGATACCCGCATCTAAGTCCATACCCCCACGACTCATAGAACCCTTAACAAATTAACTATAATTTCTAAACCAATTCCTCACACGTTCAACTAATCATATTGTTTGTGGATGTTTTTCTTAAATATTGAACAATTAGTATGAATGATTTGTGAGTTAGTGTAATGTAGTAGACAATAGTAGTGCAAACTAGTGTAATTGCATCTTTGTACATGAACCCATGGATACCCATGAACCCGCGGATACCCAGTGGTTTGGGTTGGGTTTGAGTTTTTCAAATCCAGTGGGTTTTACCCCGTTTTTTGTGTGGATAAACCCATGGCTTTGGGTTTGGTTTTGGCATAATTCGCCCCAACCCGACCCATTGCCATCCCTAGTGAGGAGTAAGTAACTCGATGCGCTGACCCGAACGACCCGCAACCCGATCCGAAACCCGATGAACCTGCGAAGCAATTTTCCCGCAACCCAATTGAACCTGAACTCGCAACCCGATTGAACTCACAACAAGACAAACCCAAAAACTAACTATCCCACAACCCGATTGAACCAAAACCGAACCCGTCCGATTGACAGTTACACATTAATTCCACATGAGTTAGAAAGAAGATGACACACGTGGCCGACGTGCACTACCTTCCCAACGGCATATCTTTAAGCAATCGAGTTTATAGTTTGATCTTTGATTCTTTACTAGCTTTTTACCCGGCCTGTTGGCCGGTGAGTTTCATTTTATCATTTATATTAATCAATTTATCGATATGTTTAAACTATTTTAGATCTTTTAATTTTTTTACATTTGCATTCATATGTGAGTATGCAGTGCGTCTATAAATTAAAAATTCTCAATACTTAGCACATTCACTTATGATGTTTCGATTATCTGATCATAAATCATATCACAAAGATATATCACGTCCCATATAGAATCATATGTCAAGATTTGTCAACAACGATACTCAATTCTTTTTAGGCAAAATACAGCTGTATATCCACAACTATCAGGTTTGTGACAAATATATTCACAACTATCGAAATACACGAAATATCCAAAAATCAGAAGGTTGTGTGACAAATCTATCCACTTCCGTCTGAAACTATAACGGCGTGTCAGACGACGTTAAATTGACTAACGGAATGTTGAATCGATGCCAGCTCACCTGCCACATAAGCCAAAAAGCAACAAAACTTTACACGTAGATGCCAAATAGGCTAGTTGAATAAAGGCAAAATACAGTTGTATATCCACAACTATCAGGTTTGTGCCAAATATATCCACCACTATCAGGTTTGTGACAAATATATCCACAACTATAGAAATACACGAAATATCCATTTTCGTCCACTCCGTTAACTCCGTCAGTTAACTTGATGACTGGACAAACGGTGGATGCTTAGTTGACGTGTTTCTGACCCCACTGAATGACGTGGATTAAAAGAGAGAAAAAATTAAAAATCCTAAAAACCACAGACAGCGAGACTAAAAATCCAACATAGAAACACGCCCGATAACCACTGATCCTCCTCCGATCGACGCCTCCACCCCCAAATAACCCTATCCCAAGCCCAGATTTTGATTCCAACCACAATCCCCAACCATTGCCTCCCTTTTACTTCGACGGCTTCCATGCAGTCGGTGCCATGGTGATACCAAGTTTGAATCTAACCAAATCGCCAACAGAGAAGACTACAGCATCGAGGTCTAATAGATAACGGTGTAAAGTTTGGTTGCTTTTTGGCTTATGGCAGGTGAGATGGCATCGATTCAGCATTTTGTTAGTCAATTTAACGTCGTCTGACATGTCATTATAGTTTCAGACGAAAGTGGATAGATTTGTTACACAATCTTCTGATTTTTGGATATTTCGTGTATTTCGATAGTCGTGGATATATTTGTCACAAACCTGATAGTTGTGGATATACAACTGTATTTTGCCTAATTTTTTTCTCTTTTAATCCACGTCATTTAGTGGGGCCAGAAGCACGCCAACTAAGAATCCACCGTCTATCCAGTCATCATGTTAACTGACGGAGTTAATGGAGTGGATGGAAATGGATATTTCGTGTATTTCGATAGTTATGGATATATTTGTCACAAACCTGATAGTTGTGGATATACAGCTGCATTTTGCCTTTTTTTTTTATCTTGTACAATATATGCCATTCAATGAATCTCGAGTTTGGACAAACTCTCAACCAATGATGTTGCTCAGATGACGACAACTTAGTTAGAATTTTTTTTATAAAGGTACTTCAATATTTTTTTATAAAGGTACTTCAATATTAGATAAATTTGGTCATCCCAATTAAAAATTTACTATCTTAGTGTATGATCATATTTGTCGATCAAGACACTCAATTTAATATTTTATACAATATGTACCAATTGTTAATACCTAAAGTTTAATTTTGACTCACCCAACTCATGGTCGTTGTTTAGATGTTGGTTTAGAATCTCGGTCCAAGATACTCACACACTGTCGAGGGTTCTAATCTTAACATGGTCCATTAGTGTATAATTTGCTAACTTATCAAATATGCATTTGCTAAAATTTATTTATCTTTGGTGTTTATTTTGGGATAAAAATTCCATTACTTATACTAATATCTTCATTTTATTGGTGTAGTGCCACATCCCTAATCAATATCGAAGCATGATACTATACTCTAAGTAAGAAAACGCTATCAGAATCACGAATTAACCGGATTTGTGGGCATGATACTATAACCTAACCCTTGATAAGTGAACCTGAGGTCTTAGTTATCTAAATCATAGAGCTTAACCCCTAAGATTGTGCAGGTAATTTGTTGCATATATTTTTTCGAATCATGACCATTGATTTTTGTTTATAATTAAACTGATGTTAGTGTATGATATTTATAAATTTAAGACCTAGATTTTAATCTTTAAGGCTTTGAGAATAATACCATATGCCAAACTCTAGTCAATTCAAGGTCATAATATACATATATAAATATAAAGAGTTTAATATATTTTTAAGTGTAATTAACACCTTTGTTTGACCGAAATATGTAAACTGTTAAGAAAAGATAAGGGGAAATATGAACAAATGTAAGAGAAAATAAGGTATGGAAACATGCATTATAAGAGAGAAGAAAAGTTGTCTTTCTTTATCGCCTTCATTTGTACAATCAGGTACTACATTATGGCTTCGTCGTATTTCTATTAAAATGGAAAAAAACAACTTTTGAAGTATTTTGCTATTTAATACTTGTTTTTGTTGATAGATACAAATATTAGAAAAAGATAGTGTTTGATAACCAAAACATAAAATTATATAGTTGGTTTTTCAAATTCAATTGATTATTAAATGTTGATTATCTATACTTCACTATATTAAGTTCTAATAAAAATAAAAATTAATTGATCAGATTTAATCAAATATTTTTTTTTAAAATTACAATATATGTCACTCTCCAAACATAAGTATACTGCTGCTACACATATATATTGCAAAAAAATTATTGAATAAAAAAAATAAATAATTAAAAGAAGATAGAGATAGCTACATAAATGATCATTAAAATAAAAGAAAAATATTAAAAGAAGATAGATATAGCTACACTAATTGATTATTAATTAACTTTTTTGTTTGTAAAAAAAAGTGTCCACCATGGCACCTTGTAAATTCTTCAAATGCTTATGTGGCAACAAACTTCTTTTGAATTGTCATAATATTATGTATAGATAGATAGATGGTGCATCTATTTATAAGTTTTAAAGGTTAATTTATACGCATCACAAAGATCACACAAGATGCGTAGACAATAAAAAAACATATGACATAGTTCCCCATAGTAAGACCATAAACTAGAACTCATTTTTATTGTGTGATCGATGACCAAAACAGAGTAAAACATAAAGGGGATAGATAGCTCCCAATTCCCTCGATTTAACATGAAAAAACAACAACATAAAGCTGGAAAACAGACCCAAAAGACAACAATCGCCGAGACACATATCCATCTTCTAAGAGGACGCTGCTGCAGATTTGTTTTTAGCAACGAGGAGCTTAGCAAACTCGATGATCTTGTCGGTTTCAGGCAGGACGTCCTTCACAGCAGGATCGGCCGAGAATTTGGCAGCCCATTTGCACAAACCAGGCGTCTTCTCCTCATCGAGAAGCTTCACTCCTCCCAGCATCACTTGCAGAGCTCTCAGCCATGCCAACATGCTCCCAAACGAAATGTCGATAAACCCAATCTTCTCCCCGCCGAAGAAATCCTTCCCTTTGTTGATTTCCTCATACGCACCCTCCAGCAGCGCCATACCTTCCTTTAGCTGACCCACCGCCGCGTTCTTCGCCTCCTCGCTCGACGCATTTAACGCCCCTCTCACGTTCGGAAACCACTGCAAAAAAAAAAAAAAAAAAAATTGATTGCATAGATATGATTAGAAGATCAAAATCACACAACCCATTTAAAGACTCACACCTAGAACCTTGATTGGTCGTCCATTTCAAAAGGGTTTTGTTTTTAAAAATCGCACCTTTTCGTCGACGTAGGCAGCCCAGAAGCGTGCGACGGCCCTGTCGTGAGCGTCGGAGGGGAGGATTGAAGGGCCGGCGGACCAAACCTCGTCAATGTACTCGACGATGATGTTGGATTCGCAGATGGGTTTGTCGTTGTGAAGAAGGACAGGGATTTTCTTGTGGACAGGGTTGGATTTGAGGAGGAGGTCGCTCTTGGACCCGAATTGCTCCTCGAGGAACTCATACTCGACGGATTTGATGTTGAAGGCTATCCTTGGGCGCATCACGAACGGACTCGGCCACGCGCCGATCAGTTTGACATCACCATTGTTGTTATTGGCCATTGTTTTTCAGGAAGAAATGAAGAAAGGCAGAGACTTTCAGAAGACAGGGGACCTCTCTGTTCCTATATAAGTGTACGATCTTGTTTGGGTTTGAATTGTGCGATGAAAACAGGTGGGGAAATGGCGCGTATATATAGTGAGAGATTGGAGGACGCTTTCTTATGGGTGTTGGTTATTTATTAATTATGGGGCGGAGAGAAGATCGAATTGGGTTCTATACGGACAGATACGGGGAAGGGACGACTAATGGGGTGGGAAATGGGAATTGAACTCGACTATTTTATTTCTCCGAAACAAGGAAAATAAATAGACGTCACTGATGATGATGTTAGGTATAGGTTGGCAATAGGCATGTTGGGTGGTTTTCGTTTCAAATTGATTCACCCTGATTATTAGCAAATTAGAATAATTGTGAACCACAATTCACCACATTCTTCTATGGGTTGGGTACTTGGGTTGGATGGGTGGCGGATGAGTACGGTTGGGTCATGAGTTAACCCGTAAAAGCAATTCTTCAACTAGACATTAAGAAAGTTGACTAACATTTATAATAAGTTCATAGTAAATTATTAAGAATGTATGAATTTAAATTTTAGGGTAAATACAATTTATTAGTCAAAGCTTTCATTTTAAACAAAATAATAGTCAAACCTTTTCAAAAACAATTTATTAGTCAAACCGTTAACTTTCCATACGATCTAACAGTTAGTTGAATATGATGTGGCAAAATATGAGACGTGGCACTCAATAAAAAAAATCACTTGTGACCAGTGTTATTAAAGCCGAGCCGAGCCGCTCGGGCCGACTGGTAAAATCGCCATCCGGTTACAAAATCGGCTCGGAACAGTCTAAAAGTCGCTCTGGTTTTATGTAGCGGTTGGCGAGCGGCTCGCTTGTCCGGTTTTTGTCATTCAGCCACTAAATTTAATTAAAAAAATTGTAAAAAATTTAAAATTGAAATAAACCAAAAACGTCGGGCTCTCAAATTGAATCCTTATTTCCATTTCACAATTTCGAAGGAAAGAGATGAGCTCTGATTAAGAAATGTCCACTATTTATACTGATAACGTTTATTAGATACCGGTTCTCTTACGATTTTTAAACGGTCTAATACCGGTTGGACCGTTAAAGTGCGAGTCGTTCGCATTACCGGGTCATGCTCCGGTTCGGTTCTGACAACACATCCGTAAATCTTTTATCATTTCTTACATTTATTTTTAGATCGATGATAAAAAAACGTCATCTGATAGCCACACACAACTCAACCTCCATCTCTGCTTCCTCTGCTCGCGTATTGTCAGAATCCCTAGCTCTCCTTTCCCTCAAATCTGTCGTCACCGAGGAACGAAGATCGCCTTCGCCCCTTGGAACTCTTCAGCCGCAGTATGCACTCGGCCCGACAAGGCCTATTGAATCAATCTATCCATACTCATACCACTCTCTTCCCCATCCGATTTTTCTTTTTCTTCCCTCCCTACGGCAGCGACGACGCTCTCGTTGAACTCCCCGGATTCCTCCCGCCGCCTGATGCCTTGAATTTGCTCCTCTTCTTATCCTTTCCCTCGCTTGATACTGTCGTCTCCCCTGTATTCAACGATTTACCATAATACTCTTCCCACCAGAATTCTTCTCCCCAACAGCGTATTCTGCTGGCCGCATAACGCTTCTTCCCCCGAGATAGGGAGGCAACGACGACGCCTTCACCAAAACAGTCTCGCCTTTCGGAGGCACCGGAGGGACGATGCTTTGTGAAGAAGTGGAATGAAAAAAGCACCTCCCCATGAATCTACCTTATTTCGGCTTATTATTGCTCCTCCCATCGATATGCTTCTTGAATACCCTTTTCTTCTATCTCGCTTCCAATCAGTTCTCTTGGCTTTTGAAGTTTTGGGTAAGTGTTTAGTAGCAGAGACTTGGTTTCAGGAAGGGTGTAAGGAAGAAACTTTCAGATCTGGAATGTGGGTTTGAAACGATTTCTTGTTCTAGCTTAGGGAAATTCTAGATTGGGACGGAAGAACTGAAAATTGGGGATTTTTGGGTTTAGGGATTTTAGGAATGCTCCTTATCTGGGTCGACTGGGTGCTAGATGGTGATGACAACCACTCACTCATTCTGTCTTTGATTTGGGGTCGAGTCGAGTGAGGTTCGGCGTAGTGATGGCAATTTCAACATGTCCCGCGGGTATTACCCGACCTGATCCGTGATGGAGCGGGTATTACCCGACCCGCAGTAGCGTGGGGCGGGGCATGAGTATCTACTTCCGAACCTTCCTGCCCCGATCCGCCCGTTCTAGACTCATTTTATCTCAATTTCTTACAATTTCTATACATATTTCTCCTATTTTGACTTTTCTTCAACTAGTTAGAGTCGCTCTTTCAACTTGTTAGACTCAATTACCTATTCTATTATCACTATTTTTCATTCTTAAAGTGTTTTACACTTCGTTATATCGTAAAAAGTAAAATTTACTTGTATTTTTTCGAATAACATGTAAGAGTGGGTCGACCCGCCCCCGCCCCGTACCCGCGCGGGTTTTACCCGCCCCGCCCCGTAGTAGAGTGGGGCGGGGCATGGGAATTGAGGTACCTGCCCCGCCCCATTGCCATCACTAGTCCGACGACGATGTAATGAAAATGCGAGAAACGGATTGCCAGGGGAGAAGAACGAGTGGGTGAAGTTCATCGTTTCCTTTTGATTTTTAATTGATCTGTTTCCCTAGAAAAATAAAATATTATGTAAATTTAATTAATATCCATGTGGCAAATCAAAAGTTTAACTTTCTTCCATGTCATCATAAACTTTCCACGTGATCAAGAATTTTGCCACGTCATAGTCAACTAACTGTTGACCGGATGAAAAGTTGACGGTTTGGCTAATAAATTGTTTTTGAAAAGGTTTGGCTATTAATTTGTTTAAAATAAAAGGTTTGGCTAATAAATTGTATTTACTCTAAATTTTAAACACTTCTCACTTTGTCTCAAGTGAATCCATGTAGTATTTGCATAAAAAAAATTACTACTCTATCAACCAATTGCGTAGAGAAAACTTGCTCATTTTGTGATTTTCATAAAAATAATAATTTAAAGTTTTATTCCAATATTTAATGAATATTAACAATAATATGCATTCCAATATGCAAAATTTAATAGATATTACACAACACAATAACCAATAATAGTAGTTAAAACAAAAAAAAATCATGTGAAAATAGGATGCGAGTCATTCAAGGGTGATCAGTAATCCACCCACCACCCACTCACATAAGTACGGGTGGGAGATTTATCAATCCAAAGTCCACTTGCATCAATCACCCACTACTTACAGAGGAGGGACATAAAAGACATAGAGGACATAAATTCGGCCAGCTATTTTTCTAACCCTTCTATTTGCCATGTAAATACTTATACGAAACTACGAATTGCTATCTCGTACTGAATATATGTCTTGAACTAGCTATTCATTTGTCTTACAAATTAAGTCGCCACTCTATCTAAGTTGTTAAGTTAACCTAGAGGACTAATGAGACTTCACGTTAGTTAACTTATAACCAAGCCATCCTCGTGTTTACATTCTTGTCTCCTGGGTTTGAGGTATAACCGTATAAGAGGCCATAAGGCTAAATTCATCTGGTTCTCTTTCAAGATATGAGATATCAAACTCGTCCCCTATTTCACCATTCCCTTCGTCCCTAGGTGACCAGGTGGCTTAGCAGTATTTCCCGTGATATGAGTTGTGTAGATGAACCAATATTGGTTGTAGAGCATGAAATACTTCCACGATCACACGAAAGTCACAAAAAAGACGGTCATTAGTGACTGTATCAACCTAGAATGTTCCAGACATTATAGAGTATACGAGATAGACTTCAACCGATAGTGGAAATCGTCCTTCACTCCTACAATAAAGGTTTCAAATTAACACATTTGATTTGGATGCTGACAGAAATTTTCAACAGAGAAAACATAAATATAGGTTGCTCGATGAAGAGCCTAAAACATAAGATGACATTTTTTTCTTCTTCTTTTTCTTGTTTAGTTGTTTTAAATTAATTGTATGTTGAGGTGTCAAAACAACATAATATGTATTATGAATTCGTTAACTTTTGCGTTGAAAAATTGTCATTAAATTGAATTTCGAAAAGTTTGGATATTAAATTGTTTTAGTTCTACGGTTTGGCTAACATGTCAAAACTCAATAGCCACGTCAGCATCCATATTATCATTATTTGCCACGTCAGATTCAACTAATATTTGATCAGATGAAAAGTTAATAATAGGATTATTATTTTATTTTTCAAAAAACTCGACTATTATTCGGTTAAAAATGAAAATTTTGACTATTATATTGGTTTAATTATTTTCTAAATAATGAAGTTGACCCCGCTTTTTGAGTGACCATAAACTGATAAATTCTATCCATAACTCCTTTATCATCATTCAAGTTGTGGGGATATTTTTCTACAATGTGTGACTCACACAACATTAATTCCACAAGAGTTGAAAAGAAAGTGATTCATGTAGCCGACGTTCACTAACTTCCCAACTGCATATCTTTAAGCAATCCAATTCATAGTTTGATTAAAATATCTGTTTGATGTTTATGGTTGCATTTATTTATAGTTTTCAATGGTTAGTCTATATAAATAACAAATACCACACAAATTGTAATACTTTAGACACATTTTTATTGAAAAAGCATGAGAAAGATTTAATGACTATAAGAATCAATTCAATTTTAGTTGACAAAATGTTTTTTTATGACGAAATGAAGGAAATTATGATATTTTTTATGAATTCTTAAATTAAATTTCAGAATAATGCAGTATAGAGATAAATAACCTATTGATAATCGATGGTGGACAAACCTTGAAATGTAGGGCGAAAAAAAGTAAAAAAACAAATGACATAGTTCCCGTAGTAAGATCAGAAACTAGAACTCATTTCTATTATGTGATCGCTGACCAAAACAGAGTAAAACATAAAGGGGATGGACAGCTCCGATTTCCCTCGATTCAACATGAAAGTACAACAGCAACATAAACAACATAAACCTTCAAAACAACAATCGCCCAAAACACACATCCATCTTCTAAGAGGAGGCTGCTGCAGCTTTGATTTTGGCAACGAGGAGCTTGGCAAACTCGATGATCTTCTCTGTTTCAGGCAGGACGTCCTTCACAGCAGGATCGGCAGAGAATTTGGCAGCCCATTTGCACAAACCAGGCGTCTTCTCCTCATCGAGAAGCTTCACTCCTCCCAGCATCACTTGCAGGGCTCTCAACCACGCTAACATGCTCCCAAATGCAATGTCGATAAACCCAATCTTCTCCCCGCCGAAGAAATCCTTCCCTTTGCTGATTTCCACATACGCTCCCTCCAGCAGCGCCATGCCTTCCTTCAGCTGATCCACCGCCGCGTTCTTCGCCTCCTCGCTCGACGCAGCTGCCGCCCCTCTAACATTCGGAAACCACTGCAAGAAAAAATTTGATTTCAAAAAATTAAAATCACATACAAGAAACAACGACCCATTAGAGAACTCAAACCTAAAACCTTAAATCGGTGGTCAATTTCAGAAGGGTTGTCAAAAAGATCGTACCTTTTCGTCGACGTAGGCAGCCCAGAAGCGCGCGACGGCGCGGTCGTGGGCGTCGGAGGGGAGGATTGAAGGGCCGGCGGACCAAACCTCGTCAATGTACTCGACGATGATGTTGGATTCGCAGATGGGTTTGTCGTTGTGTAGAAGGACAGGGATTTTCTTGTGGACAGGGTTGGATTTGAGGAGGAGGTCGCTCTTGGACCCGAATTGCTCCTGGAGGAACTCGTACTCGACGGATTTGATGTTGAGGGCGATCCTCGGGCGCATCACGAACGGGCTCGGCCACGCGCCGATCAGCTTGACATCGCCGTTGTTGTTGTTGTTGGCCATTGTTTTGCAAGAAGAGATGAAGAAAGACAGGGGACCTCTCTGTTTCTATGTATGTGTACGATCTTGTGTTGGGGGTTTGAATTGTGTGATGAAAACAGGGTGGGGGAAATGGCAGGTATATATAGTGAGAGATTGGGAGGAGGTTTCTTGGAGGAAACTTCTGGGCGTTGATTATTATTAAGTGGCCGGGGAGAAGTTCGAATTGGGTTCCATACAGATGGAGAAAGAGCCAGTGAATGAATGGGGTGGGAAATGGGAATTGAATTGGTGACAGGAGACAGTCTGACTTATTTTATTTCTCACAAACAAGAAAAAATATTATACGTCACTGATGATCCCAGCGACCGACACAACACAACACAACACAACACAACACAAGGAAGAAAAAAGGGCATTGATAATAAGTCTACAAAAATGAAAACAAATTGCACCAGCCGGGAATCGAACCCGGGTCTGTACCGTGGCAGGGTACTATTCTACCACTAGACCACTGGTGCTCATTGGTCTTATATTGTACATGTATCTTAATTTATATAGTTTAGTAAATGCATAATTTCGGAGTAAATGACCCTGTTAACCTTGTTTTAACCCATAATTGAGCGACTCTCATTCAAACTACTTATTCAATATGGTCCAAGAACAAGAATCAGACCTTGGCATAGCATATATATATAGCTTCAAGACTTGGAAAGATGGGTTACAAGAATCGAAATGCAAACTGCCCTAGGGGATAATATAATTATTTATCATATTGTATTATATCTTGTTGGAGTTCTAGTCGGTAAATCTCGAAAATGTGTTGTTACTTGTTTAAAATATGGGTCGTACTCAATTTGCTCTAGTTAAATGTGGTACAAGCTGTAGAAAGGTCAAGATCCAGCTAGACTCAACAACAATCATTCACCTACTCTTTGCAAACGCTCCGTATGATCACCGCCGCCATGCTACTCCTGTCATCTCTTTTCGAGAGCTTCAAATTAGGGATTGAGATACTAGAGTTACTCATGTTTACATGTAGAGTAACATTTTAGCCGATAGTATACCTTATAGGGGTCACTCTCCGAATCCTAGTACCCATATTGTTTGATTCTCTAATTAAGTCATTGCACATTTTCTTTCGTATGATTTTGTTGACGGTTTTATGGTCTACTAGATTTATAATTAAGAGATAGCGGTGTTTCTTGATACCCACTTTTATAAAGGGAAAGATTATATCATGAGACTTTATCCTGGAACTGTAACAGAGTACTTTAAATCCACACCATAAAGGAAATGTCTTTCTATTTTATTGTGTCAATATATTATCCTAATTTTTGGAATTTCCCCGTGAAAAATCCAGGGTACCGAATACCTTGAGTTTGAAAACGCTATCTAGACCTCGAATTAGTAGGATTTTTGGGTCTGATACTATATCCTAACCCTTAATGAGTGAACCCTAGGTCCTAATTATCTAAATCATAAACTATAAATCCTAAGATGGCATTCATTTTTTGCCTATATTTGGACGAATCATAGCTGTCAATTATAGTTTCTAATTAAATTGATCTTAGCGTATAAAACAGAGAATTAAGACCTAGATTTTGATCTTTAAGGGTTAGAATATAGTATCATGTCTGAAAGCTCAGTCAATTCAAGTCTAAATAGCATTTTCATACTCAAAGTATGCGGTACCCCTAATTTCACCCTGGGTACCGTAGAACTTGCCATATATATTATTCACTAGGCTAGATTACATGTTAGGTCACTTGATTTATCAATTTATTTCAAGTTTGACAAACTTTTCCTTCCATATTGGTCATTTACTTCAAACTCTCGTTCCTTTGTTGGATGTCGATCGTCCAATTTCGTTAAGTTTGTCATAGGTGGCATGTAACTATGATATTTAGCTGTTAAGTAGATTATGTGCCATTTAAAAGAATATTAAAACGAGTGGTCATGGAAAATTTTAAAACGACATTTCTATTATTATATTTTAAATTGTCACATAATTTACTTAACGATTAAAAATCATTGGTCATTGTTACTTATGATACGAACAAGTAATCAATGATGAAACAAAAGTTTAAGTTTTTTTTTTTTTGTTAACGACAAGCATGTAATAAATTGATAAATTCTGTGAGAAAACATGAGATTTAGCCTTATTTGGATAGTTGAATTATTCATATCGATTTGAACTAAATAGCAAGTTCGTTGGGTTACATGCAATCGAGTTATTAAGAATTGACTAGTACAAAACCCTTAATAGTTGGGGGTTGGCACTTATACCCTTCTCAATTAACTTCGCCAAGTGCAGAGCAGTAAAAATGAACTTCCATATTTCTCATAACTAGACCAAAAACTAGAGCCCATTGGCATTTCCTTTGCTCATCAATCACACAAACCCACAAAACAAAGAGAGTTCCTATTTGTCGCCCTAATTATTTAAATTTATCGCCCTAACATATGAAAAATGACCAAAATGCCCTTGGGTGGGTTTTAGGGTTTAAAACCCATATATTGTAGTAGGACATGATGGTCCTACACTTTTCCACTCTTTGTAGAGACAAAGAGCTACAAAGAGTGGAAACTTCAAACAAAAAACTAATCAAATCCCACACCACAACAATTCTCAACTACTCTCTTCTTTATTGGTGAGTTTTATTTGAATTCGGCTAGACCATCCTCAAGGCACACTCGGCAGTGAAGTAGTCGACCAAAGGTATGCTGCATTCTTCTTTTTTTTTTTCTGATTTTACGAGAACAAATAGGTTGAAATTGTGTGCACGCCGTCGGAGAGGCAGGTTGAAAACATGTCTCTCCATGGAGGAAATGGGTAGACAACTAGTCCGTTCCTCTCGCTGAGCATGTAATTCACATGCTTGATCCATAAGACACACGGGTAAACAACACGCCCGCGTCAGTGGACAGGCGGGTAGACAACATGTCCGCGCTGATGGACAGACTTGTCATTGACCTGCCCGTCCCGCCGTCATATCCTTTTGACCTCATGTCCTTCCATGGACGAGGCGGGTAGACAACCCGCTCAGCACACGGTTTAATCCTGTAAAGAACATTCCCGCGCACCGGTAGAGGCACCTGCGCAGCACGTTTGAACCATTGGCGAGTCATTTTTGTTTTCTGCCTGATCGATGGTCGAGTCATGTTTTGCACATGCTTGGGGCCGGTTTTTGTGATTTTTAGATGGATTTTTGTGAATTGTTAGACAAATTTTGATGAAATTCACTTGAAATATATTATATATGTTCATTAAAATTTGTTTATTTGGTGTGCTTGTAGGAGGGAGGACAAAGTGTAGAAGCCTCTTTCTTTATCATCATCAAATAACAAGTTTAAAATGAGTGATTCGGTAAATACCTTATTTCTTTGTTGTTTAATAGTTAAATTATTGCAACATAATTGTTTCAAGACTAACGTAAATATTTATACTGTGTATTTTTTGTAGGGAGGTTTTGGAAATGATAAGGGTGACAATGTTGATTACACATCATTTTTCATAAACGATGTTGTTTATGATACCCATGATGATGCTTGTGCGGCTGCAAGGGAGATTGCCATGAGAAATAGGTTTTCCTTGATTGTGGGATCAGTCAAGCAAAATCACTCATCAGAAAAATATCCGCGGTACTATATGGATTGCAGCCATGGCTATAGGAACAAGTCATATACTCCTGATTTGGCAAAAACAACACGGAGCAAATCTAAAACAAGTAAGTCTGATTGTCGTTTCCGCGTGGTAGTGCGTTGTTCATTGGTAGATGGCAAGTGTGAGTGGAGAATTTTTGGTGTTAAGGACAAAGATAATCCGGGTAAGTCGAGAGGATTTCACAATCACAAATTTGAGGTTTATTCTGAAGGAAGTAGGCAAAGGAATTCTCTTTCGAAAGAGAGAAGAATAGATATTAAGGAGTTGGAGGCAACACATACTCAGGCAAGAGATATTCGGAGTTTTTTGAATAGGAAGTACGATGCTCATCACCATATGAAGCAGATTTATAACGAGACAGAAAAGATTAGGCGTGAGAGATTGGGTGGCATGAAACCTATGCGGTGGACATTGATAGAAGCTCAACGTCTCGATTACTTTGTTCAGTGCGAGTTTGATGATGAGCGTCGTGTTTCTAGACTCTTCCTTTGCCATCCAGAGTCTATTCGGATGTTGAGTGCATGGTATTTCGTCATTTTGATAGACTCAACTTACAAGACTAACAAGTATAAGCAGCCACTAGTTCAGTTGATTGGTGTTAGTCCGGTGAAGAAGAACTTCAATATTGGGTTTGCATTGGTGTCGGATGAGACGAAGGAGACATATGCTTGGGTTTTGATGCAATTGAAGCATCTGCTTGGTGATTGAACACCGGATGCGTTTGTTACCGATAAGGAGGGAGGTTTGGGTGTCTCATTGCGACAGATCTTTCCATCTTCAGCTCATTTACTATGTGTGTGGCACATGAAGAGGAACATTGAAGCTAAAATGTTGTCTTTTAGGATCAGTCGTGATTCTGCCGAGTGGTTTATAGAAGGTCCATGGGGGAGAGTCTTGAATGCCAATACCGAGGCAGGGTTCCAACGGTGTTGGCGAGACTTGCAAAATGGTCATTGGGGTAAAAACGAAAAGTTGATGGACTACCTCAGAAGTGAGTGGATAAGTGTTGTTTCCTTAGATTGTGTTTTATTATTATTATTATTTTACTGTGTGCTTTGATTTATTTTAGGTTAAATGAATCAAGTAACATGTGCAAATTTACTAAAAAACACAAATATCAAAGATCTAACATCCAAACCTCAAATATGAAACATCCAACATCCAACATCCGGACATCAAGGTCAAGCACCCAGAAAATACTCATAGATCCAAGCCTGTAACAAGGTCAAGCACCCAGAAAATCCTTTAGATCCTGCTCGACTAGATCTCCCAAGCTGTCTATACATCCAGGCAAGCGCACCAGCACCCCATGCATACTTACTAACCATCTGCAAATCTCTGAAGTAAGAGTACAACCATCCACGAACACGATCAGAACTCTTATCCACAAAAAGCGTGGACCCTATCAAACACATCAAATAGCATCGTGCCTCAGCATCCCCATCCTCCCTAGCATGTAGACGTGTCATGGCCTCATCTACCAACATCCCACCACCGTCATACCAACGGATGCCACGCGCTGCCACTGCATTCTTATCTGGAATCCCAAGAAGATCAACAATCCCACTCACGAACGACGGATCACCCTTAGCTGGTGCAGCAAGTAACTCTCCATCCACTGGAATCTGGAGCAGGAATGAAACATCGTGAAGAGTGATGGTCATCTCCCCGAACGGCATGTGAAACGTGTTGGTATCCGGCTGCCACCTCTCAATAAACGCCTCCAAGAGAGGGTAATCCACACTATGCATCATGCAACTACTCAAGTGGTACAAATTAGATGCCCTAACCAAGTTCTCTACACGTGGAGTCGAGAACTTGTACAACCTCAGTCGATCCACTCCACCCTGCCGAGTGTAGAACTGATACTCAGACATCACTCGAAAATCCAAACCCAAAGTCCACAAACGATGGCTTATGTGACCACCGAAACTAGGGATCAAACTGTGGTCACTCGGACCCCCAGGACCTGCTCCTGTAAGCAGCCATGTCTGATCCACCAACTTCTTCCGTGAAGAGACGCTCCCACTAGATGATGAAGCAAAACGCCCATCCTTACCACGTAGCGGCCCAACCCGAGTACTAACATGTGTCGAGCCAGTAGACACGTGATCGCTCGAACCTACAGGATGGCCCTGGTAAAAAGCATCAGGAAACGGCAACAAGTCACCCTCCTCCTCACCCTCCTCATCACCCTCATCACACTCATCATCACTGCTCGTGGCATCCTCTACCAAGTCATCATATGTGTTGATGACTCGCATCTGTCGAGAATCATGGCTAGAGTGGGCAGGATCAACTACAGCTTGACGAGCAAGCTTCTCCTGACGCTCCAGCTCAAGAGCTCTATCCTTCTCCTCCTGACGTTTTCTCCGCTCAGATCCAGTAACATTGCGTCCAACAACCCTCGACTTTCCCTTTCTTTCGTTCATTTTTACCAACTATCAAGAAAATAAATTTTTTCAGAATTATTATTAATCATCCTAAACTTTTTAACTATTCCTAATAATCATTAACAATCATAAACTTTATCAATTGAATACTACTTATATTGTCAAAATAACAAAACATCAGCTAATTATAATTAACAATTCAAATCAAGTTTATCAAAATTCACATTCTAATGTATGTCGCATAAATAATCATTCACAATTATTATTAATAAAATCAACAATTCATAAACCTATGCATTTAAATTAAAAAAATAGGCAGAACAGAACCAGACCGGTTGGAAAACCAGACCGAACCGGGCCGGGCGGGTCGGATACCCGACTGGACCGGGTCGGGGGCGGGTTGGCGACCCAGCCACCGCCCGATGCAGGCGGATACCCTGCCCGCCTCACCTCACATCCGGGCGTGGGAAGAAGCTGCTCATGACGGCTTGGGGCGGGTGGAAAACCTGCTGCCGGCGGGCAAAAGACAGGTCGCCGACCTGTCTTTTGCCCGCCGGCAGCAGGTTTTCCACCCGCCCCATTTACATTCACGAAAAGAAAAAAAAAAGGAAAGATCCATCAGACAGGGCGACTCACCTTCTCCCGGCGACGACGACAATGGCGAGCAGAGGAAGGGCGGCGGCGGCGTTGCAGAGAGATGGAAGGGCGGCGGCGTTGCTGGTCGTCGGCGGGTCTTCGGCGGCTGTGAAGGAAGTGTTCGTGCGAAGGAAGGGTTCGTGAGTGAAGGGCGGCTGCGAAGGAAGGGGGGGAGAGTCTGCGGGCGGACTGCTGGGGGTGAGGGTAAGTTTAGGTTAGGGTTTATTTAAGTTGAGGGTAAAATTGTCCATTCAATAAGTTTAGGGCGATTTATTTGAAAACTTAGGGCGACGAATAGAAGTTCAGCAAAACAAATGTGCCCATTCTATGTGTTCTTAACACTTATTTCCTTCAGTTCATCAAACCACTACAACAGTCCCAGTCTCTCGATTCATCACCAAACATCAAAATTACAAACCCACCCAACAATCTACGAGGAGGAGGCTGGTTTCATTTTGGCCATAAGGATCTTGGAAAACTCGAGGAGCTTCTCAGTCTCCGGCAGCACATCCTTCACAGCAGGATCAGCCGAAAATTTCCCAGCCCATTTACACAGATCAGGAGTCTTCTCCTCATCGAGAAGCTTCACTCCTCCGAGAATCACTTGCACGGCTCTCAGCCATCCCAACATGCTCCCAAACGCAATGTCCAGAAACCCAATCTTCTCCCCGCCGAAGAAATCCTCCCCTTTGCTGATCTCCCCGTACGCTCCTTCCAGCAGCGCCAGCCCTTCTTTCAGCTGTTCCACCGCCGCGTTCTTCGCCTCCTCCGTCGCCGCCATTGGCGCAGCTCTCACATTCGGGAACCACTGCCCAATCAAAAAAGATTCCAACTTTTCAATTCGAATCCCAAATCTAACGACTGCCCATTAAAGCAATCGACACGGAGAATACGAATTCGAGATCAATTTAGGAAAAAAATCGTAATTCGTACCTTTTCGTCGAGGTAGGCAGCCCAGAAGCGGGCGACGGCGCGATCGTACGGGTCGGAAGGGAGGATGGAAGGGCCGGAGGACCAAACCTCGTCGATGTACTCGACGATGATGCTGGATTCGCAAATGGGTTTGCCGTTGTGCAGAAGGACAGGGATTTTCTTGTGGACAGGGTTTGATTTGAGGAGGAGCTCGCTCTTGGACCCGAACTGCTCCTGGAGGAACTCGTACTCGACGGATTTGACGTTGAGAGCGATTCTAGGCCTCATTACGTAAGGGCTCGCCCAGGCGCCGATCAGTTTCACATCTCCGTTGTTACTGGCCATGGCTAGAGCAGAACAAACTGCTGCGAGAAGAATGGAAGAAAACAGAGTAGAAGGAGAATACAGAAGCTGATTTTGAGCTTTCTGTTTGGGGAGAGGAAACAGGGTCTGGAAATGCGTATGTATAGGGATTCGGTAGGAAGAGTGAGAGAGAGGAGGGAAATTATGGGCTCTTTTATTTGTTATTATTATTCTTGTTGGGGAGATAAGAACCAAAAATTTATTAACGAGATCGAGCAGAAAGGGCAGTGGGGATTGAATGGAATTGAGAGACGTCATTGATGATGATGGTGGTAACGGGATTGATTGATACGTTTGATGTGTGAGGAGGGTAGATGGATCGTGTGGCTGAGATTCAACTGAGAAGAAAGGGGACAAAATCAAAATCTACTTTGCAATCTCAGACCGGATTCGTCTTTATTGGTTAGTTTATAGATGAAGAATTTCACATTTTGTTCATACCTTCATTACCCAAGAAAGGAAGGCTCGGAGTCGGAACAAGAAGGAAAACTGCAAAAATGGCGTCGGTGGCTGGCTGGAAATATGGATTCACTGTGCTTTTGGAACGAGCTCCTTTCATATCCTCTGGTAGCAACACCGCATATCAGCAAGCTCTCTGTGAATCCGCTGCCTTCTCTTTCTGTCATCATTTCTTGAATTCCTCCTTCATCCGCTTTGCTGTGAAACAGAAACATTTGGACCAAGAATAAAACTCTAAACGGGCCCTCAGCAAGACAAGCAACAGCTCACTATTTGGAAATCTGAGAAGAGTTCATACTATAGCAAAACAACAGAAAAGGATAATTAGTATCACCATTTTGCTGGAACGTACTTGAACATCAATAGGAGAACAAACACTATATTTTTTTTTGGTAAAGGTGAAATCATTTATTAATTAAACGGAAACGGGAAAAAGAAAAGGTTACAGCCCAGAAAGGGCTTTACAAGTAATCAGTCACAGCAACCACTAGGGAGAAACAAACAACAAGAATAAAAATAAGAACAATTAAAACAGAAAATAGCTACAAATCAGAAACAAAAGGAACCGAAGATAGCACCACATCCTCCTACAGAGACCTAGAGCAGCAACGGTACATCAGAATCAGCAACAACAAACGCAGCAGCTCACACAAAATTACAGCAGCAGCGCCAACAGCAGCATTGACAGCACAACCGCAGAACATCAACACAACAGCAAAATAGATAAACAGATGAGGACAGTTCAGTAACGCCAAGCACCGGGAGTTCAGTGTGGAGGTTCCTGTACAACTCTAGGTACCACCTACTCTTTCAACTTCCTCATCCAATCCTCCGCAATGACTCTATCATTCTTCTCATTAGTACACAACCAGTCCGCCATAGCACGAGTGATTCAAAAGCAGACCACATTCATTGTTTCCTCCTTGTCTCAAAAAATCTTGTCATTCCTTTCCCGCCAAAGCCGCCAACACAGAGCGTGCAAAAACACTCTGGAACACCATTCACGAGGACAAACAGGTTCCTTTTGCTGCCACCTACCGATTAGAATAGATATATCCCCATCTAGGTTAATAGGAAGCTTCACAAAACGCCTCATTGCTTGCCACACCATACGCGAGAACCTGCAACCCAAGAAAAGATGATCTGCACTTTCTTCCTCTTCGTAGCACATGGTACATCGGTTTGGCAGCATCCATCCACGCTTCTTGAGTAGGTCTTGCGTCAGAATCTTTTTGTGGAACACTAACCAAACAAACACACAGACTTTGAACGGGACAGGCTGCTTCCAAACAATGTTAGCAGGGAATATGATTCCACTGCTGTAATGTTCACCAAACAGCGAGTCATACATGGACTTCACTCTAAAGCCGGTGCTTGGGGACGGCTCCCAAGTTAGTCTTGCTGGACCTGCAGAGAACAAAGTGGAAGGGATAGTTTGTAGAAAATTTAAAAGAGCACATCTCTCACCCTCAGCCCCACCTCTAAGATTATAATTTAAATGTAAGTCCCATGAAAGGTTTCTCTCCCCAATATGCAAGACATCAGCGATTTGACAGCACGGCGAATCAGTAGCAGCGACGATCCTTTGAAAGAATTTGGCAAGAGGGATTTCTTTATTTTTTTTCTTTTTGTGTGTAGCTCAGTATGAAATTAGTCTTTCCCGGAACTCTCTCTTCTCTCTCTTCTCTCTCCCTCGTTCTAGGGTTCGACTGTGGATTCACAAATGGCGGCCGTCACCGGCGAAGCCTCCTCAGGTGCCGTCGGTGACGGGCGCACTTGGGCGTCGCTGTTTTCGTTCAATCCAGACCTCAAGCTGGATTATTACGAACCGGAATTTATAAATGGATCACTGTGGATTCCAAAATCGGTACTCGAGGAGGGCTCCAAGCGATGGGTTAACTGTTTAGTTGGTCAGTTTCTGGATCGGCCAACCTCTCTTTCGTCCATTCACTTCTGGGCGAACTGGATCTGGGGGCGAGATGGAGCTATTCGGGTTTCGTGGCTGGGGGAGCGGCTGATTCTATTTCAATTTCCGACTGCAGAAGTCTGCCGATGGGTCTTCGAAGGAGGCCCTTGGCATCATCGCGAGAACCTGCTGTTCCCTCGCAAATGGGAGCCAGGTATCCAACCTCTAACTATTGATAACTCGGTAGTTCCAGTTTGGGTGAAGCTCTCGAATCTGCCGACTGAGATGACGTCCAAGGAGGGTCTAGGACGAATTGCTAGTTCTTTGGGTAGGCATCTGTATATGGATTTTCCTACGAAACAAGGGACCAAATTGGGGGTGGCAAAGCTGTGTGTTGAAATTTCAGTGAGTACTAATTTGGTGAATAAGCTCAACATTACTCCTGATGATTGCCCGGAGATGTTTGTTGATGTGGAGTACTGTCATGTCCCGAGCAAATGCGAGAAGTGTCAATTATTTGGCCATGACTGCTCCAATCCTGGAGGGAAGACGAAGAAGGTCTGGGTTATCAAACAGCCCAAGGTGAAGCAGCTTGATCTGGTTCAGGACAAGGGGAAAGATGTGATAGAGGAGTCCTCGAAGGAAATGGTTCAGGAAGTTGTAGTTGCTGAGGAAGAAAAGTCTACTACTCCTAGTCTGTTTCAAGATGAGGAAGGGTTCCAGGTGGTTACGCACAGGAAGAATAGAGTGAGAGCTCCTGCCCCGGGATCTGTCTCGCGAAGTCCATGGAGTTTGTCAGCTGGCTCGAGTAAAAGTCCATTGGATGACCAGGTATTCCCTTCTCTAAGCAGACCTGTTTTGAAGCGACCTGTTGACCCTCCACCTATTGCTCCTGCTAGGGGTAAGGGTCGGGGGAAGAAGCGGGGAAAATGAAGATACTCTGCTGGAACGTCAGGGGATTTAATTCTCCTGAAAAGCACACTGCTGTGCTAAAATTTTTTTGGAAGTTAAGGTTAGATATAGTAGCTTTGATAGAAACTAGAATTCTGTTTTCTAATTGTTCTGATATTCTCTCCAAGAAATTCAGTCAGTTTAAGCATTTGAATAACTACCCTAAGTCTGCAAATGGACGTATCTGGTTGCTCTGGAAAGAAGGTATTGATGTAGTGAAGGTTGCAGATGGTCAGCATTTTATAAAAGTTAGAGTTGCAGGTCCTGTCCCTTTCATCCTCCTAGTGGTTTACAGTCCAAACAAAGAAGCAGATAGGGCTGTGTTGTATGAAGAACTTCTGCTCCATCAAGAAGTTAATGTTCCAATGGTTGTTATGGGTGACTTTAATGCGGTAATTGACCCAGGGGATACCTCTAATCTTGTGGGTATGAACTCGAGCATGTTTGCTTTTAAGTCCTGGATTGATGATATGAAAGTGATTGATCATAGGGTTATGGGGTCTTGGTTTACATGGTGGAACAAACAGGAAGAGAACCCCATTGCGAGGAGGCTGGATAGAATTCTCATTAATGAAGTCTGGCTATCTATGTTTAAAGCTAGTTCTGCTACTACCTCTCCACCAGGTATATCAGATCACAGTGGTTTGTTGCTGATAGTTATTCCCGAGGTGCAGAGCTTTCCCAAGCCTTTTAAATATTTTACTTTTTGGACTAGTCATCCTGGTTACAATGAGTTAGTATCAGAAGCATGGAAGTATAAGGGAGGTCTATGCTGAACAGGGAGGTCTATGCTGATATTTCAAATAGAACGAGGGCTTGTGAAAGTAGACTTGAGGCTTTGCAATTGGCTATACTGGTTACTCCAGATCCTTCACTAGTAGGGGAAGAGAAGAAAGTAGCTGTGGAGTGTCATGAATTGCAAAAAAGCTGAGGAAGGGTTTTACAAGCAGAAGGCTCGAGTTAGGGGAGTTCAAGAGGGAGACATGAACACTAAATTCTTCCATAGTTCTGTGAAACTTCGCTCTCATCGCCAGCAGATAACTCGTCTCTTGAATGCTCAAGGACAGGAGATGACTGATATACAGCAGCTGGGGCAAGTAGCAGTAGAGTTCTATAAGAAACTTATTGTAGAGGCTGATCCTGCAGTGTACCCACATCCATCTAGCTTCTATGCAGGTTTGGCACTAAAATCTCTCAACCATGAGGAGGCTGGGTTGTTGACTGCTCCAATATCCAGAGAGGAAATTCGCAAGGTATTTAGAAACCTTGGACGAGACAAGGCACCAGGCCCAGATGGGTTTCCTGCTGAGTTCTTTAAGTTGCACTGGGGTTTGATTGGCAAGGAGGTTGAGGAAGTTGCTCTGAGCTTCTTCTCTTCTGGCATTATGCCACAGGTTTTGAATTCTACTCTGTTTACCCTTGTGGCCAAGATTCCAAATGCTGAGAGAATGAAAGATTTCTGTCCCATTTCCTGCTGTAACACGATTTATAAGGGGATCTCGAAGATTTTGGCCAACAGGTTAGCATCTGTACTACCCTGCCTTATCTCCTCATCTCAATCTGCTTTCATCAGAGGTCGATCAATCTGTGATAATATATTATTAGCCTCAGAACTAGTAAAGGACTATCATAGGAGTAGAATCACCCCTAGATGTGCTGTCAAAATCGATATCATGAAAGCGTTTGACTCTGTAGACTGGAATTTCTTGTTTGCTGTGCTTAGTCAGATGGGTTTCCCTGATCTATTTATCAAATGGCTGAAAGCATGTGTTTGTACCCCTAAGGTCAGTGTTGTGATGAATGGTGGAATTTGTGGATTCTTTGAGATGAAAAAGGGGTTAAGACAAGGTGATCCCTTGTCTCCATATCTATTTACTGTGGCTATGGAGGTATTGGATGGTATGTTGAAGTTGGCTGTAAAACAGAATCAAATCCCCCCCATCCTAGATGTAAACCATTGGCAATAACGCACTTGTGTTTTGCTGATGATTTGCTTGTGTTCACTAATGGTTCTATAAGGGGGGTAGCAGGAATTTGTAGAGTTCTTGATGCTTTCTATAGAGTCTCTGGTCTTAAGTGCAACCCAGACAAGTGTCAGTTGTTTTGTGGGGGAATATCAGAACCTGAACAGCAGTATATCTCATCATATTCAAAATTCCCTATTGGTACTTTGCCTGTTAGGTATTTGGGAATTCCTCTTATCACTGGAAAGTTATCTAGGGCGGACTGTCGTGTATTGATTGAGAAAATCACAGCAAGGATTACTAGCTGGAGGGCAAGAACTCTAAGTTTTTCTTGGAGACTACAGCTTATATCATCTGTTCAGACTAGCACATTACAATATTGGATGGGTATCTTTCTCCTGCCCCAGTTTGTCATTAAGGAAGTAGAATCTATATGTAGCAAGTATCTATGGGATATAACAGAGAATTCAATGAGGACAAGAGCAGTTGTTTCTTGGGAATTCCTTGCTAGGCCGAAGAAAGAAGGAGGTTTAGGGATTCGTGGATTTGCAGTTTGGAATAAAGCTTGTGTACTTCGTCATTTCTGGGTAGTTCTAGCTGAACAGGGGTCCCTTTGGGTGGCCTGGATTAGGCGCTATAGGGTTAAACACATGTCAATCTGGGACCTTAAAGTGTCCTCATCAGCCTCGTGGATATGGAAGAGAATTTTGAAGTGTAGGGAACTTGCTCGCCCTTATGTTTCTTTGCTGCAGGGAAGCTTGGCATGGGATGGAGAGATTATGCAGCCATACTCTGTTAAAAGGGTATGGCAATCACTTCGGCAGAAAAGTAATGTAGTGGCTTGGAAGAAGTTGGTTTGGGACAATATAATTATCCCTCGACACGGTTTTATTCTGTGGTTAATCATTTAGGATA